TGGTTAGTTGGTGTCTGTATTAGTCCATTTGTGTTGCTTATAACAAAATATTTGGAACTGGGTAATTTTTAAGAAAACAAAATTTATTGCTTACAGTTTCTGAGGCTGGGAAGTCTGAAGTCTAGGGAATACATCTGGTGAGGGTCTTGGTGGTGGCAACATTCACCTAGGGGTCTCATGTGGCAGAAAATGGTGGAACAGGGCCGGCCCAGTGGCGCACTGGAGAGTGCGCCACTTGGGAGCGTGGCGGCGCTCCCGCCGAGGGTTCGGATCCCATGTGGAGACTGGTTCCCGCTCGCTGGCTGAGCGCGGTGCGGGCGTGACACCGAGGGTTGCGATCCTGTTACCGGTCAGTAAAAAAGACAAAAAGGAAAAAAAAAAAAAAAAGAAAATGGTGGAACAGAGAGGGATTAACCTCTCATGTACTCTTTTAAAGCCCTCAGAACTATGCCCCTGACCACCATTATTCATTCACTACAGCATGGTCTTACAATCCAATCACCTCTTCAAGGCCTCACCTTTCAATTACCAGAGTAAGATTTCCGACCCTCAACAGTTAACAGTGGGAATTAAGCCTCAGTGACGTTGGGGGGCATCCAGCCTACAGCAGTGTCCCTGTAGTCTTTTCACAGGAATAGGAAAAGTCTCAGAAAAAGGTCTGTCTCACAGTTCTTGGGTCTGATGATTCGAAGATTTTCATAACCAACAACAATCTGGCGATGACAATGTTCAGATATTGGAAATGCTTTTAAGTACATTTAGGACATCTGAGCCTCAAAAACAACATATTCTAAGTGTTAATTTTTGGCTGTAACTTATCATTATGAGAAGAATGAGTAAAATCATTTGCATACAATGAAGTAACTTTTTGGTTTTCTGTTGCTGTCTGAATAAACTTGTAACTAATCAAAATTTCTGTTTCTTCTCCTTGGTGTAGCTTATCAACCAGCCCAGCAGTATTCCTTCGGAACAGGGGGGTCAGCAATGTATCGACCTCAGCACCCTGTTGCTCCTCCTGCTTCAAACGCTTACCCTAACACCCCTTACATATCTTCTGCTTCTTCCTATTCTGGGCCGTCTCAGCTATATGCAGCACAGCACCAGGCCTCTTCACCTACCTCCAGCCCTACTGCTTCTTTCCCTCCTCCCCCCTCCTCTGGAGCATCCTTCCAGCATGGCGGACCAGGAGCTCCATCATCATCTTCAGCTTATGCACTACCTCCTGGAACAACAGGTATACTACCTGCTGCCAGTGAGCTGCCTGCATCCCAAAGAACAGGTCTGCACTTGAAAGGGATTTGGTTTGGCTCCCTCCGTTATTTTTTCATGAATAGATGGGTGGATGGAGGGGTATTATTTCTAACTTTGTAAACTGGATAATATGAGGGGCTGATTGAGTTTTAATAACAGATTCTAAAACTATTTCTAAAAGTGTAATTCTCCCATAAAGAACTTTAGATGCTAAATGAAGAACTCTTTAGAGCTTCAAAAGGGTAATAGTTTATATAATCTGCCATTGATCTTAAAATAAGTGGTAAGAAATTAGTTGACAAGATATGTGGTAGCTGGATTCAGATTTAATTGATACTAATTTCTTTACTTGACACTAATATCTTGAACAAAGGTATGCTCTGTGTTCTTATTGAGAAGATTTCCATTTTTAAAATTATTTGTGGCTGGGCCGACCCGGTGGCGCACTGCTACAGTGCGCCGCTTGGGAGCGCGGTGGCGCTCCCGCCGAGGGTTCGGATCCCACTTACAGACCGGTTCCCACTCACTGGCTGAGTGAGGTGTGGGCGCAACACCGAGGGTTGCGATCCCGTTGCCGTCCCAGTCCAGTACAGGCACAACACTGAGGGTTGCGATCCGTTGCCGGTCACGAAAAAAGACAAAAAGGAAAAAAAAAAAAAAAGATGACAAACCTCCCATGTCACTTAACAAAATTCCCAGGTCAGTGTCATGCAGAGGGTGGCCCCAGACCATTGGCATCCTGGGGGCTGGTTGGAAATGTGAATTCTCAAGCTCCAGCCAGAACTCTTGACTCAGAAACCCTGGGAGTGGCATCTGGCCATCTGAGCAGGGCAGAGTCTTGGGCTTGAATATAACTGTACTGCCCCAGGGGATTCAGGTGTGCAGCTACTCTGGACACCCCCGTTCCCATAGGCAGGAATACCAGGATGAAAGGACGGATGGGTTTTTCTGGGGAACGGTGAAAGAGGCGTGATTAGTCCCTGAAGATTGTCTTATCAATCAACCAACCCCGTGGGAATGTTTCAGCTTCATGTTCTAGACCTACCCCCACTACCCCACACTCTAAAAGCCAGTGTCACACTCCACCCAGGGTTAACTTAACCCAAAAGGAAAACCTGTAAAACAGTAGAAAGTCAGTGTTGACAAGTGCAGTTTTTCTTCCTTAGGTAATACTGCTCTCTCAGGCATTTTGGGAAATTCTAGGCCTTTTTATTTTTTTTGTTTACTAGTGTAGTTATTCCTGAACATTTCTAATTAAAATCATAATTTTATAAACTTCTATAGTGAAATACACATTTTTTATTCATATTATTTTTTATTGACAAATCATAATTATATACATTTATGGGGTATAGTGTGATGTTTTGATATATGCATACAGTGTAGAATGATTAAATCAAGCTAATTAACATATCCATCACCTCACTGACCTGTCATTTTTTTATGGTGGTGAAGTGCACATTTTATAAATTCATTTTATTGCTTTTTTATATTACAGTTAGAACATTATGTTAATTTTTTAAAAGCAGGTAGATAATCTGATTTTCACTTCGAGATAGTAAAAGGAGCCTCAAAAGTATGTATTATAAAAAAAAAAATGTCAGTGAATCAGATAGGGTTTAGAATCAGTTACGTAGTAGTTAAGAATGTAGGCTTTACAGAGCACAGTGTTACAACACCAACATCAAGGGTTTGGATCCCCATACTGGCCAGCTACAAAAAAAAAAAAAAAAAATTCAGGCTTTGGAGTAAGATTGCCTGGGTTTGTATCCCCACTTCACTGCTTTCTAATTATGTGATCTCAAGTAAATTTTTAACTTCTTTAAGCTTCAGTTTCTTCAGAGAATAATAGTACCTGCTCATATACTTATTAAGAAGATTGAATGCATTAATTCATTAATACATTTAGGGACAATGACTAGTATATAACAAGCACTTTTTTAAAAAGTTAGTTGTGATTATAGAAAACCTCATTCACATTTAGAGCTCTGTGCATTTTGTTGAAAAGTAGTTCCTTTTCAGATTATAACTACAGGGGCAAAAAGATGAAGTGAGACTTGCTTTACTTCTAGTACTTACATTGTTTCGGGGGAGCCCAGTATATATTTTTCTCCTTTTATGTGCTAAGAGTAGCTTTAATTAATGAAAGCATTTATCGTAAAATAGGATCTATTGTGGAAGTATTCTTTTCTAATAATATGCCTTAATAATATGGATATATAAAACATTTTTTAAACGTTACTAGTTTTAAAGTCTTATGGATAGATCCCAGAATTATACACATCTTCCACCTTCTAAGTCAAAAGCACCAAAAGTGACACACACACGTATACTATATGCATCATGCTTTACTACACAAGTAAAATTTCAGTAATATACTATAGATGCTTCAATAGTTCAATATTTTAGAGAGGAGTGCTAATTCATTTGTAGAGTTCCAAATATTACCTTCTTAAACCTGGATGAGTGAAGATGGTATCCACTCTGAACAGTTGGGTAATAGAGTTCTTGAGTGAAAGAGGTAGCATAGGCTTAAGTAAATCCCCACTCAAAAAGTGCAGGGAAGTAGCAAAGGGAATCAACATTTATTAGCTAGCATTGAACATGTTCTAGCACTTGTTTTTTATATATATATACATACACATATATATACATATATATGTGTATGTATATATATATATATTTTTTTATATAAATCTTACAATCCTGAGAAATAGGAATAATAGTTTTTTAAAAAATTACAGATGACGAAACTGAGTTTCTTAGAGTTATATAATTTTCTCAGGATTGCACAGTGATAATCTCCAAGTTGAGACACAAACCCAGGCCTCTCAGTCTTCAAAGCCCAGGTTCATTATTCTGTAGCATGTAGTCTAGTCTTGAAGTGAGTGATGGGAAACAATCAGCATTAGAATTACAAAAATTATCTAGCATTTGTTACTTTATAATCTAAAACAATTTCATGGGCGTATTTTTCTCCTTAAGTAAAAGTACATTTGGCCATGAGATTGGTCTTTGTTTATATACAAAGTAACAGAATGTTCTAACCTGACTGAGAAGCAATGACTAATAGGAAAAAGAAGCCAAACACATTTTTCAGTATTTGGCATGCACTACGCCTAGCTGCTTTGTTACCTCTTGCATGTTAATAATCCCTTATATTTTAATTAACAGTTACACTTCAGCATGTTTTATTTTTGAATTTCCTAAAAATCTTGCTTAGGTTGTATAACTAATTGTGACTGAAAATTTTGTCTTTGTTTAATATGTATTAGATCATGATTTATTTCAGGATTGAGAAATTCCAGTTGTCCAGTGGATAATTTCAGACAGACATACAGATTTTCAAGCCCTCTATTAGTGAACCACAAAATTATGTGCCCAGGGCTCAGAGAAACTAACATTGCAACCAGCAAAGTATTAATTCAGTAAATTCTTAATGAGTACCTGTTTAGTCTACAATCTGAATGATCTCACATTGTATATTGACAAAGTAAAATTAAAAAAAAAAAAAAAGAATGATCTCAGACAGAGGTAGGGAGGCAGAAAAAGATAGTATGTTTCTAGTGTATAGCAAATAGCTCTAAGTTAGAACACAAAATTTGTATTTGGGCCAAACTTTGGAAAGTCTTCAGTGCCGGGGCAAGAATTTTATACTTTATAATAAGAAAAAAGGTTCTAGTGAAGGTTTTTTGAATTGCTGAGTGGTGCAGTCAAAGTGGTACTTGATGGAGATTAATCTGGAGGAGGCCTTACAGGATAGATTGTGAGCAGCAGGGCAGAATAATCAATCAGAGGCCAGGAAAACAGGCTCTCTCCCAGTTCTAGTTATGAAGTGGTAACAGCCTGAATTAGGATAGTGCAATATCATTTCCATGGTGGCAGCACAGGATGGCAGGTCATTTTCCCTGTTTTACTGTCTAGGATAAGTGGGATACTGCCTGTTATTCGTTTTTTTGTTGTTGTTCTCCCTAGTTTAATGTGTGCTTGCTTCTAAGGGAGAGCACTTTCAAATATGAAGACCCTAGAATTTTCCTCAAAAAATCATTTTCTGATAAAATGGCCTTCCAGCTATAATCAAGCTGTGACTGTTAAAACATTATTGACTTTGTTAAACAATGGAACATTTAATTTACATATATAGTCTTGTACTTCTTCATATAAAAGTCTTGAAGGACAATAATACTGCATATATTCATGGAACAGTGTTCTGAAAAAATTTTTTAATTTTCATAAACATTCCTTAGTCAGATTGATGCCAGATGAGAGGGTCTGGGGAGGTCAGATGGCCAACCTCAAGCCACCCCATCCTCTGTCAGGCTCTTGACTCCACCACAGGAAAGAATTCAAGAGCAGAGTCAGAGTAGAAAACAAAAAGAGGTTTAATATAAAGAATAAGAAACATACACTTCACAGGGAAAATGTGGGCTGGCTTGAGAGAGTGAGCAGCAGCACATTAAAGGCAGATTTAACATCAAAAGGTGCAGAATACACACCTCACAGGTGAAGTGCGGCCTGGCTAGCTCCAGAGACAATGAGCAACAGTCCCGCCTTCTTCCTGGATTCTACTTTTATAGTTTGGCTGTTTATATATATTCAAGTTGTCTAATGAATATTCAACTGAGGGGTGGTTCCCAGTTATGCAACAGGTTATGTAAGCCTTGCATGTGCTCAGTTGGTCTCTTTGGAGCATGCTAATTGGTCAGATTCCACCAAATACACTTAAAACATTCTGGGTGTTCTCTTGTGCCTCTAGTTGAAGGGCATTCATAGGATAAACTCCTTTCTACTGAGAATGTTCAGTCCTGGAATTACATAAATCTGCCTCCTGTGGTCTCAATCTCTATGTGTTGGTGCTGAAAATAGGTGCAACAAATAACAGTAAGCTCAGGACTCAGAGGAGGGGCTTGAGTCCTAGGGGAGTGGTCTAAGACTCAGGGGAGCAGCCTGAAACCTGACACCAGGGAAACTGAGCACCTCCATCTCAAAATTATAATACCTGGTTTTAACCATTCAAATACAGGAAAGGAACTTGATAGCCTTTCTTACTTTTCTTTGGATAATTCTGTTTATCTTGTGCCATTGGAAAATGACTTCAAGAATTCAAGTCTTTTCTTAACTTTTATTTTTGTGTCCCTTTTTAAAAAAACGTGATGTGCTAGGCTGTAGAAAAAGGGAAGGTATGTGGTTGTCAAGGATCTTCTTTCTCCATCTCAAGTTATCTTCTAGCTGAAAGTCTCCATACCATTTGCACTAATATTTTTCTCTGAGTTCACTGGAAAGTGTCTTAGCCAGTACATAGATCCTACCATTGTACTCCTGCAGAAATACCTAAGAAGTTCCCAGTTAGAAGTGGGTTTGGGTAAGGATGGTGTGCAGCTCCACCTTGCATGTGAGACCAGCAGTTTCTTCCTTCCCCAAAAATTCTGTGGAGGACTAATCTCTACACTAAGGTGGATAAGGCTCAATAGTATCCAGTATTGTGCCATATTCATTTTTTAAATTAATTTTCCCTTTATTTCTTATTAATTTTTCACTGTAAGAAGTATTTTGAATACCCAATTAGAATAAAAAATATGAGGTTACTTCAGAAAGTTTGCGGAAAAATAGAATTAAAAGATAATATGAATTTTTCCATGAACTTATTTTGAGACCTCTTGTAAAATAATTACCTGTAATTCTACTACCCAAATATAACTACTATTAACTTAGGTTTATTTATTCTTTTCATATACATGTATACATATGTATACATACTTATAAGTATGTGTGTATGTATGCATGCATTAAAATTTTATTGTGGTGAAATATACACAATATAAAATTTACCATTTTAACCATGTTTAAACATATGCAGTTCTGTGGCATTAGAGACATTCACATCTTTGTGCAGCCACCACCAATATTCACCTACAGAACTTTTTCATCATTCCATACTGAAATTCTATATGCATTAAACAATAACTTCCCATTCCCCCCAGCCTCTGGTAACCACTGTTCTACTTTCTGTCTCTATGTATTTGACTTTTCTAGGTACCTCATGTAAGTGGAGTCATGCAACATTTTTCCTTTTGTGTCTGTCTTATTTCACTTGGTGTAATGTCTTCAAGGTTCATTCATGTTGTAGCATGTATCAATTTCTTTTTTAAGGCTGAATAATTATATATACCATATTTTGTTTATCCATTTATCTACCGATTGGCATTTTGGCTATTGTACATAATGCTGCTATGAATATTTCACTTGGTGTAATGTCTTCAAGGTTCATTCATGTTGTAGCATGTATCAATTTCTTTTTTAAGGCTGAATAATTATATATACCATTTTTTGTTTATCCATTTATCTACCGATTGGCATTTTGGCTATTGTACATAATGCTGCTATGAACATGGGTGTACAAAATATGTTTGAGTCCCTTCTTTCAGTTCTTTTGTGTATATGCCCAGAAGTGGAATAGCCAGATCAAATAGTAATTCTATGTTTAATTTTTTTTTTGAGGAACCACCTCACTGTGGTTCCACAGCAGCTGCACTATTTTACATTTCCACCAGCAATATGCAAGGGTTCCAGTTTCTCCATATTCATGCCAGCATTTTCTGTTTTTAATAATAGCCATCCTAGTGGGTGTGAAGTAGTATCTCATTGTGCGCATGCATTTTTAAAGAATTGGGATCATAAAACACACATGTACAATGTACACATAATTTTACATCTTACTTTTTTCTTAATATTACACCATGAGCCATTTTTTCATGCCCTTAAAGTCATGTCATGTTTCAAAAGAGTAAGAGAGAGATTTGTCCCCACTTTATAGTTTTTTGAAAGAGTAAAAGAGAGATTATCTCCTCTTCACAGTTTTGTGAGATATTTGTGTTCAAGATTAGACTATACTTCATTGATTTTTAAAATGTTGACCAAGAATATCATTTTTCACATCTGTAATGAATCTCCATGGTACTGTCTTCTGTAGATATTCGTGTTCTTCATGTAGCTTGTTTTACCTCCTGTCATTAATAAAGGGTATCTGTAAAATAGAGGTCAATTCAGTTGTGTTTATAAAAAGTCACATTTAAATAATCTATTTAAAGCCATAAAAGCAAAAAGCTTTCAGGGCTACAATTGTAGCTGAGACAAAACTGTAAATTAAATCAATAAAAGATTTGGACAAGGATTATCTGGGCTGAAATAAAACATGGCTAAATATATTATGTGGTTTGAGGTCAGGAGGAGTCAGCTAGGCATATATTTGGGGAGAGAGGGACTTTGTTTATTGTACAACTGTTACCTTCTGTTCAACAGACCTTGCCTCCACCCTTACCCCTTCAAGTTATTCATGCTCACTAACTGACCATATGTTCCTGTTGAGAGTCTTCTTGGTTCTGATTAGCTTCAGTTTTACGTCTAACTTTGAATTTGATTTCATTATAGCTTTGCTATCATTTTACCAAGGGGTTATAAGAAAACTGTTCCATAGACTTCTTTGTGCTGTTAATAGTTTGTAAAATCAGGATACCTTCCCAGGCTTTAATACGCAAGGCTTACGTCACTGCCATGAGAGATTAGAGGAAAAACAGTCCTCACCTTCTGCACCTCCCTCTCATGAGGCAGGGGAAGACGGCGTGTTGTTGAGACTACTCCCTGACAAAGAGGTCAAGCCCAAGGTATTTTCACTGCTTTTAGATTTGCAATATAAATTGGCCCCCTGAGACCAGAAGCTGAAGTCTGTTGCTAGAGAGTGCATCAGTACTTGGGAATCACGTTAGTCCTTTGTTGTAATGCACACATAGTGACTTCCCAGGCATTTATTAACTACAGTGTTATGAAGTCACATTTTGCATGGAGAGTTAGGTTGTAAAGTTGTAAAGTCATCATTTAGGGTAGAAATAGAAAATCACGGTTATCTTTCATCACTCTTCTTCAGTTAAACTCTAGATGAGGTTGGCTTGCGTTGAGGAGCCATATTGTATGAAAAACATCTCTCAATAAACATTAGAAACACACTCCTCACAGTGAGATTTCAAGCTGTGGGATTACCTCTCCCACCACACAAGTTCTGTGGAGCATGTGCTTCTTGATTAGAGCTCAAACTCAGTTGAACTCACTGTTTTAAATGCTGTGTGCTTTTGGAACCTCCTTCACCGAGGGAAGATAGTTGAATTCACGTAAGTTATACGAAGGTACTTCAAAAAGTGAATGGAAAGATTTGTATTATCTGTTAATTCTATTTTGCATCAACTTTTTGAAGTACCCTTGTATGTGCGTGTGATGTACCTCTACTGCATGCTTTTGATTTGAGGCTGCGCCTGGTCTGACTCTTAATATCTGACAGTTGTCAGCCTGTTTTCCTCTTCTCCACTGCCAGAAACTTCAGCTCTCTTAAGAGAAGTAGTGATTTCTGGGAGACTCGTGCTAAATAGTCTGCAAATCCATATATTCTTACAGAAAGGATCATATGAGATGGTTACATGGTTGCTGGGCCTATTCTCATTTATTCTCATATTCATGGTGTAACCCCAGAAATTACAGTTTCTCCAGAATGCAGACCATTGGGGCCTTCCAAATCTAGCAGTGAAAAAAATGCCATCACCCTGCTGAGATTGTCAGGCATGTTTATCATATGTAGTGTAGAAATCCTCCCATTTCTCTTTAAATCCCTACCACTTAGAGAGGGTGTCAGACCAGCAGCATTGGTAACACCTGGGAGCTGGCTGGAAAGACAGAATCTCAGGTCCTATCACCATACCTAATAAATTAAAATCCGCATTTTGACAGGATCATCAGCTGATTCGGATTTACAACTTTGAATAATACCAGAAAGGACACATTAGGTACACTATGTTAGGAAGTGTTGTCCCCTCAAGTGATATTACTCAGCTTCATTGGCCAAGTAGTAGAAAAACAGTCCATGCAAACAGTTAGGGAAATACCATATTTTAAATAGAAGGGATAAAATTTTCTCTTAAAAAAAGACAACTACCACAGTAAGAAAAAAGTGATATTCAGGAATTGGATCAGACACAACTTAAATGAATTCACTTTACCCAAAAATTGATGACTTTCTTAGAAGACATTTCATGTGACTTTGTTAAAAAGTAAGTTTTGTTCCCTTGTAAAATTGGTTTGCTCTTCCTGGGGGTTGATGGGGGGAAAAGAAACAATTATAAAATGAGAAGTATAGTTTGGAATGTGTTCAACAATATTATTTAAGTAACTTTTACATTTTGTCTGCAGAAAATCAGTCTATCCAAGACCAGGCACCTATGTTGGAAGGTGAATTGGTTGTAAAATACACCTTTGGAAATCTTTGGATCATTGAATACAATTAATGAATGGACATTAACAATAATGCATGTGAACTTCAAAGATGATGATATCCTAAATCTGATCACTATGATTTTTTGTTTGTCTTCTTAATTGAATCAAATTTTAGAACTGATTGAATTTATATGATGAGACTAATAGATTTAAATCACAGCAGGCATTTTATATAGACCTAAAGAAAACGACTATACGAAGATTGTCGTAGATACTAGTAAGACTAGAGGGTGATAGAGGAGATTTGAATGATTAATCTAAGTATGACCAGAAGTTTAAGAATTGGTTAACCAGGTCTGGCCAGTAAGCTCAGCTGGCTAGAACACAACCTTAGAATACCAAGGTCACAGGTTCAGATCCGAATTCTGGCCAGTGTCAAAAAAAAAAAAAAAAAAGAATTTGTTAAGCAGATAGCTAGCAGCTTATAGTTTCACATTTTGTGATTAACTATTGAATATTTTGAGCCTTATTTGGCATTCTACCTCCTAGTAAACTTGTAAGAAATTTATTCTGTTTTTTTAAAATCAAGGCAAATGGTGGTTGGGAGAAGATCTATATTTTTAAGTTTCTGTGACATCATGCATGAATCACAGGTTCTTTGATGTGCTAAGCAATTTTGTTATTTAATATCTTGTGTATCAATTAAACAAGTAAAAGTTAAAATATTGAAAGAATGTTGAATTTATTGGAAGAGGAGTGTTTTTTTTGTGTATGTTTATGTGTACATACACAAAAATTTCTTTAGCAAGTATCGTTCCATAATAGAAGATCAAAACTCATACTTAGTGAAATGTAAAATACTTACATACTTGTGATTTAGAAATTACCCTGTCTTATTTCTAGTATGTTTTATTCCTTTTTTCTTTAAAGATATTGGCTTTAATATACTTAATGAGTTCTGCTACTGATGTCCATTTTTTTTTTTTTGTCTTTTTTTCGTGTCCGGCAACGGATCGCAACCCTCAGTGTTGCGCTCGTACCGGACCGGGACCGGCAATGGGATCGCAACACTCGGCGCTGCACCCGCACCTTGCTCAGCCAGTGAGCGGGAACCGGTCTGTATGTGGGATCCGAACCCTCGGAGGGAGTGCCGCCGCGCTTCCCAAGCGGCGCACTGTAGCAGTGCGCCACCGGGCCGGCCCCATTTTTTACTTTGAGATGACAGGGGGTTTTTTGGTTTGGGGGTTTTTTGCATGTGTTTTTTGAGAGGAAAATTACAACAGTTGACAGTAGCTTAATTTTATATTTGCTCCTAGCCTGGAATTTTTTTTATGGCATAAAAAAAAATCTAGAACAGATATTTGAATGCCCTTTTATACTTTATAAGTAATTCCCAAAGCGGAGATAATAAAAATTACTGATATTATGCAGTTGGGATCTGTTTTTTTTTTAAAAACAGTGTTTCTACCATGTTTAGCATTTGTGAATGATTTGCTTATGTTGAATTATTCTGTTAGCAAATAGGAGATCGCTACTTTTATTGGTTTTTGTATGTTGAATATATTAGAAGCCTTTTTTTTTCTTTAGCTGATTCAGTTGACTTATTTTTTCTTTATTAGGAGAGTACAATAAACTGATCTTTGAAGATTATATACTAGTATCGACATAAAGACTTCACCATACTTAAATTTAGCACAGCTCTTTCACTTTAAATGGAAATAATATCACAGTATCCTGCTTACTAAGCTAAGACCTTGTGACTGTTGGGTATGAGTTTGAGAATCCAGGGCTCTACAGTGATCCCCACAATTTGGATGGTAAAACCTTTGTGACAGTTATCTCAGGGTTAAGGCAGAATTTCAGAGTATTAGATGATGGATTCAATTTCATTTTCTTCCTTGTAGAAATCTAAAGGAAAATATCCTCTATTATCTGTTGTAGGTCCTCAGAATGGTTGGAATGATCCTCCAGCTTTGAACAGAGTACCCAAGAAGAAGAAGGTACTAGAAAAAGATGTTCACTCAGTGTCTTGCAGATGTTAGGTTAATCACATAGCTACTTGGAGCACATCACACTTTACTCATTCTTCTAAGGGCATAGCTTACTGATTGATGTATTTTGAGTGTATTTTAACATGCATCTTCTAATCCATGGAGTGAAGGAAAAGTGGAAAACAGTATCGTCAAAACCTTGCTCTGATGATGGCGGTATAAAGCCCTTTCAGAAGGCAAGTTGTAAATTCCCAACAGATCACTTTCAAAAAGTAGGAAACAAAATTTCAGGCTTCACAAATGATTTTTTTTTTAGGAGCTACTTTGGTATTTGGGTTCCAACAGTAATCATGAATTTGGCAATTATATTTTGGATTTTTTGTCTATCACATATAATGTGCATGAAGAAATAGCCTTCTAGCTGAACATGTTATTTATTTTAATTTTAATTTATTTTATTTATTGAATCAAAATTAATTATACATATTTTGGGGGTTCAACATTAAGATATGTTGATCAAATCAATATTTCTAGCATATATATTGTTACAAATCGTAATTATTCTTTATGACCCTTGTCCAGTCTCCATCCCCCTCTCCCTGCCCCCTCTAATTACCCTAGATTTCTTTTCTCCTTCTGAAAGAATAATGGTTACTCTGTTGATTTGTTGCCTAGATGATCTGTCCAACACTGCAAGGTATGATCAGGTCCCCCAATATTATCATAGAGCAGATGCTTCTTCTGTCACTATGAAATGGGCTCTGTGGAGAGAGACATCCTCTTCTTTTCTTTATCTCTGCTGGTGACTCTCCTTGTGTCAGTGCACTCCAGTGGGTGACAGACCATCTGCGTGATGGTTGTGGCATCTACCCACTTTTGTGGCAGCCATGGTTATTGTGGTGGCTGTAGTGGGCCACCCACATGGAGGTGATGTTTTTGGCATGCTCCTTGGCACTGGCGGTGTGCCTGGTTGTGGGGTATATCTGGTCCCCTTCTCCATGCCTCAGGTCCCTGGGTGGGCCCCAAGGTGCTGGCACAGTGTGGCTGGATGTGGGAGTGGGGTCCGGTCCGGGCTCCAAGCGTCTGCTTCCCAGGCAGGCCTCAAAGCGCTGGTGGTGTGCCTGGGCCGGAACTAATTTTTTTGTCTTTTGCTTCTAAAACAGGGGAACTTCCTGTGAGAACCAGTACTTGATCTGTGTGGTTGAGCTAAATTGCTGCTTTGCTGATGTTTCCCTAGGGAAGGCTTTTTGTGCAGCTCAGGGTTTAATGATTGACCTTATAGGTACTTCTGGTTCTCCAGAGACTCAGTGGATCTGGGTTGTGTAGAAACTCTGATCTGGGCCTGAGTTTTTTCATCAAACTGCACCTCATGCAATCCTGCATTCCTGACCAGTCTCCTCTGAGTGGTCCTGTGCTGATTGGGGGGTGGGTCGGCTGTCCTTGCTATGGCCCAGTGTTCTCCTGGTGGGCCCGTCTCTCCCACTGCCCGTGGTTCAAACACTTGCCATGGGACGGGCCCTGCGCCGGTCCCTTGCAATGACTCACCGGCCTCTGAATGGCTCCCTTTTTCCAATTGTTCTTGCTCCTCGCTCCTTCATTGGTCCATGGGAACTCTATTAGTCGTCTTGCTGTCCTGGGGTCTGCCAAGGCCCTCTTCTCCCCCACTACCTCCAAGTAACTCCATCTGAAGGGCACAGCTGCAGCTTCTGCCAGCTCCTGCTCCATGTGCTCAGCAGCTCCAGCTGTAAAGCAACTGCGGCCTGAAACACTCAGAGCAGTTTTTTCTTTCTTTCATCATGATTTCTCCTGCCTTCATGAGCTCCATAGATTTCTCCTCCTCTTCTCCTGATCTCCAGTGGCCCCAGCTTGGCTGCTGTTACATTTTTATAGTTGTAAATTGGTTGATTTGTGGGAGAGAGTGATGCTGGGAACCATCTATTCCACCCTCTTGACTGGAACTTGCTGAGCACTCTTTAGACGTCAGTAACTGTTGAGAGCTGTTGGAGCACAAAGTAAGATTCTTGTTCCCAAGCCATTTTCTACTTATTTTTTTATTCCCAGTGACCCCATTCTCCCAAATATAGTAATGAGAGGCCATAACATAAAATTGGAAGACATTAAATGAGCAAGGAAACCCATAGTTTAGGTTAGTAATAATCAGAAACCTACTCTACTTTTAGTGGGATAGAATTGCCAAGTAATTTACTTAGTGATCTAGGAAAAGGGTAATCCATCCTGATCACATTAAACACACGTGCACGTGCATGCGCGTGGCTCATCTGATTTCAGTATTGCTAGATATAAATCTCCAGACTTGACATCCTCTTTCAAAAATACAATGGCTTTGGCTCCCCTTTGTTGGGGGTAAGTATGAGAGAGCAAGGGGAGACTGAGAAGTCCGGGTTTGAACTTCCCATTCCTGTTAGATAGATAAGCTCTACAGTTACTAGAATTCTGTATAAAATTGCATTTGAAAAAAGTATTCTACTAGTATTAAAAAGTTATTTGGCCATGTGCTAGTCTAACTCCTTTATTTAAAGCTAAGGAAATGTTGCTGTCCTTTTAATTCTTACTCTTGGTGTCTTTTATTTCCAACTTTTAAAAGATGGCTGAAAGCTTCATGCCTCCTGTTCCCATCACATCGCCAATCATGAACCCTTTGGGTGACCCCCAGTCACAGATGCTGCAGCAACAACCTTCAGCTCCAGTACCACTGTCATGCCAAGCTTCATTCCCACATATACATCTTCCAGGTGGCCAGCCCTTCCATGGCATGCAGCAACCTCTTGGTCAAACAGGCATGCCACCGTCTTTCTCAAAGCCCAATATGGAAGGTGCCCCCGGGGCTCCTATTGGAAATACCATCCAGGTAACAGTAAATCTGTGGAAGTGGGATGGGAAGATGGCTTTTTTTGGTACATTTTCTTTAATATGTTAACTTTTATGATTATACCATTATAATGAATTTCTACATTTGGTTTCAATGTAAGCAAACTAAACAAAAAATGATAACACATTTTAAAAAATCAATCATATATGTATATTATTTTTCCAGTACATGACCATATATAAACTTTCTAGAACAGGGTTATATATTTGATAATGTATGTTTACTATAACTTGGCAATTCTAATATTTCACTTGACCTAGTTAGTAAGCACATTTTAAGATTGTTTGAATCATCTCTGCATCTAAGGCTGCTAAGCGAAAGCTGTTTCTGAAAGTTTTCTCTTATTTTAACGTGTGTATATAAAAGCTAATAATATAGTCTTATCTTCAGATGGATATATACATTTTTACTTGCTTTTCACACACAAACAGCTAGTTGGCACAGTCCTAGATGTTGAAAAATCTAACAGATTTCCATGTAATAAACTTAGATATACAAAGATAAATATTTTGACCTATTCATAGAAAGAGCTTGTATCAAAGTTCAACATTAGAAGATGAAATGAACTCCTGCCCAAGTAAAAAAACTAGTTCTGTTTTTGTCTTTGATTCATGGAAGTCAAATTTGTAAACATTGTATCTCTATCACAAGAGAATGCTTTGCAATTAAAAAATACTCATGCCGAAAGAACTTTCATATATTAAAAGTTGCATTATAACAATAAATGTTTTGATGAAGATGGGAAGACTTGCTTCTTTCCACAAAAATATAAATGTAAATTATAAATAATGGTTTTTTTGGGTTTTTTTCCTATGATTACAGGTCTTTGTTATTTTGGGAAACTACTCAGCCATTCATTCACTTTTGTTTATACATTGGCTCTCGTGTTATACTTATCTAGACCAGAACCTCAGTTTGAAAGGGAGAGATGCATAGTGTTCAACCAGGCCTTATTTCCAGCTGCCTTGGATGTCTCAGAGGCACCTGAGCCTCAACATGTTCAAACCTAATTCATTTTCTTCCTCCCAAACCTAATCTTTCAATTGTTTTCTGTTTCAGTGAAGGACATCATAATCTTTTCTGTTGAATACAGTCAAAAACCTGGAAATCATCTTTATAGTTTTTTCTTTTTAACCTCTATTTCAAATTTATCCCCAAACCTTGTTGCTTTACTCTAAAATATTTCTTGAATCCTTTTCTTCTCTACATTTCTGCTCTGGCCTATGCTACCTTCATCTCTGGTCTTCACCAGTACAGGAGCCTCCTAACTAGTCTGCCAGTATCTACGAGTACTTTGATCCATCTCTAGTTTAGGCTTGTCTCCTCTTTGCTTAAAACATTTCAGCTTCTTGTTGTTCTCAGGATAAAGACCAACATATTTAACATTGTCTGGAAGGCCTCAGCTCATACTCCTTCTTGCTTTCTCTCTGCTCCAGCCTCACTAGCCTCCTTTTAGTCCCCCCACTTTTTTTTTTTTTTTTTTCCATTATTCCTTCTGTCTGGAGTGCTTTTCCTTCCCCATCTCACTGGTTAATACATTTATCCTTTTGATATAATTTCCTGAAGATAGCCCCCCCTTTCCTTCTGTCAAATCCATTGTAGTGTCTTTTGGTTCCACTAATTGCTAACTTACCACAGTTGCTATTTTACATACATTTATGACATTTTTAAACTTTGTCTTTTTTTCATTAGCCTATAAACTCTCTGATGGCTGAGATTATTTCTCTTTTGGCTCACCAATCCATAGCCAGTACCTGGTACATAATTGCCCCATTATTTTTGAATGAATAAATGAACTAATAAATGTTTCTTCTTTGTTATTCCATCTATACACTCAGCAATATTATTATTTCATGTATCTTAATCTTTGGCTTAATCTTACAGTTTTGAGAATAGCCTCATAACAATCTCTAATAATAAAACAAAAAATTGAAGAATGCCAGGATAAACGAAAATGACCCAACAAGCAGAGCAAGCTATTTCATGTATCTTAATCTTTGGCTTAATCTTACAGTTTTGAGAATAGCCTCATAACAATCTCTAAGAATAAAACAAAAAATTGAAGAATGCCAGGATAAACGAAAATGACCCAACAAGCAGAGCAAGCAGCCACTGTAACCAGCCAACATGTTTTCCAATGTCTTTTAAAAACTTTCTGCTGGCACTGGTTTACTGCCAATCAGACATATTAATGTCCAGCATATGTTCCCTAATTAATCGATTACTTTATATCTAATCCTGTTTATGATAATCCAAGTTATAGGAGGAGTGCCTGTATCTTCTGGATATCTGGTTTTCATTTTCACTTATCCAAAGTTATTTCACATGTTAAATTTTCATGTGATTTTGAATAGGCATATCTACAATGTTGTTGGTTTCTCCTTACCATGTAAATTCAGGACTTTGTGTATAAGGTAACTTCTGGTCATTTCTGGTCAGTTTTTGATATTATTTCTTCCAGCATGTGCAGTCTTTGCCAACAGAAAAAATCACCAAGAAACCTATTCCAGATGAGCACCTCATTCTGAAGACCACATTTGAGGATCTTATTCAGCGCTGCCTTTCTTCAGCCACTGACCCTGTATGTATTTTTTCTCACATCTTGCTTAATTAAAATAATCCTTTATGGAGCTCTTTTATAATTATTGTTTGAAGTCTCACACAATATATTTCTATAAAGTTTGTACAAAAGTAATAAAGCTCGCACTTATATAGTTTGTATTTCACATAGAAATATACTTAATTGCTTTTTATATCTTTTTTTATATAAATATACGTAATCCTCACAATAATCCATGGTAGGTAGATCTGTCATTTTTATTTTCAATTGAGGAAATTAAGGCAAAGAACAGTTGAATAACACCTAAGTTCAGAGCCGGCATTCAAACCCATACAATCTGGCTCCAAAATTCGTGCTCTTTACCACCAGTCTGTACTGCTTCTCATCAGCAAACCTCATGTTTGGCACACAAGTGGTATGAAAGAAACTCAAATTTGGGATTTCTTTCTGAGAAGCTTTTAAAAGTAGATCAACTGTCTTCTGTAACTTTCCAAAGATCTTAAAGATAGTTAAACGTTTTGGATATTGGAGTCATATTTACAGTTAAAGCAACTGATTTTACTTAGTGAACTCAGAGGATGCTTGTATGTTGGCAACAACAAAAAGTCAACAAAGCCAGTGTTGTTCTAAATGAAATTTCATTTCTGTAAACAAATATTGAATATATTTATTTAGCCATTGACCACTTTGCTTGGAAAAACAGCTCTGGATTTGTTGTTTCATCAGACATTGAATATTAATATGTGCAGCCTTCTGCTCATCTTGTGGAAAGCAATTGCCTGTACTGAAAGCGTCAGGAAAGCAGAGGGTTAACATTAACCTTAGCCCTGGCATTCTGAGAGTGATGGAAAGACCAAGCTAGAAACAAGAGAGCAAGTGAAACTTACAACCAGATATACACTGTCTCCTGTTGCACACCCCTAAATAGAGAGGCCGCAGTCATTCTGAAATGGAGGAGTCCTAATAATGTGGCAAAACTCCAGTCCTTCAGGCATGAGTCACTATAGAGAGGTTAAGAAGATACAAAATACATGGCCCAGCACAATAAAATTTTGTTTAATCTCTTCTGTGTCATCATGCTATCTTCCTTTTGGGTACCCAGGAGCCCACAAAAGAAGGAGAACTGCAAAAGGCAAACTGTTCCTATAATTCCTGTAATTAGTTGGGGGAGAAGTTCTGATATCCTGCCCAGCTGCCCCTGCCCACTTAAGCTAGCGCTCCTGTTTGTAGCTAGATGGGATTAGCTTTGAGCAGGGATTGTAAGAATTCCTTTCCACAAAAGTCCATCTTAATAAATAATTGGAATAGTTTTTATAGCATAAATTTATTCTTTTTTTTTTTCACTTTAGTTTTGTCCAAATAGAACAAAGTAATTTTGCCCTGCAACTTAGTATGAAATGTTATCCTTGATGGCCTCAACTCTTCTCCTCCTTCAAACACTTTGGCATTCTTTCTTCAAACACACCAAAAGCACCTCAACATCAGGGACTTTGTACTTGCTGCTCCTTCTGCCTGTAATTCTTCTGCCACACATCTGCATCACTCACTTCCTCACTTACTCAAGGCCTCTGCTCAAGTGTCCCATTAGCATCGGGCCTCTTTACTACCCCCATCCCCCAATACTTCCAGCCCCCTTACTCTATTTTACTGCATAGCACTTATCACCATCTGACATACTATATGTATTGTTTATTTAGTATCTTTTCCCACCCAATAGAATATGAGCTCCATGATACACAGCTGTGTTCCCCACATGGCATATAGTAGACATTCAATAAATATCAAAAACTATGTCACCTCTAAGTCTGTTGTATGATGTAGATCGTTAAGTTAATCACATTGTAATTTTAAGACCTTTAATTAAGATTACTTGCCTCAGTAATCTTAAGTCACTAGAAGATAATTTTCTTTTTTGTTGCCCCTCTGGTGCTTTAAAGGTTCAGAAAGAGGCAGGATTAAGCATACCAAATGTGACTAAGTGTACAAGTGGTATTTTTGAAAGGTTGAAACAAGATTCCACAGTTCACCTATATGTATGCCTCCTAATATCCATAATCTGCAATAACTATACTCAGACCTTCTTTTCTACTACACTGACCCATTGTTGTCTCCAGGTGCTTGTGAATGTAGCGCAATTGTTCATGCACATGCCTTGTCAAGTGATTTTGCAATCCACATGAAATCCAGTCATTACCCCATTTTGTACACTGGAAGGAAGTCTCATCTTCTCCCCATCCGACCCTTAATAGATTACTGATCTCTGTTCTAATCATCTGTTCAAGTTTCCTGGTCATACTTGTCTCCATTTTTTTATAAAATGAAGCTGTTCAACGGCTTGAGTGTAAGGTTTAGTGGAATGAGATAGGGCAGGTTAAAAGTTAATGTTCAACTATAACATCTGTTTTCTTCTTCTGCAGCAAACCAAGAGGAAGCTAGATGATGCCAGCAAACGTTTGGAGTTTCTATATGATAAACTTAGGGAACAGACAGTAAGTTTTGGGGAAAAAGACTGATTTGTGATAATCTTTTATTCCTAGTCGCAAGTAAAATAAGTGTCTTATCAGCACTCTCAAATACTTTTGGAGGCGAAATTGTCATGACAATTACAGAATGGGCTTTTCTCTGTCTAAATCAGAAATCATTCACTGGGTATGAGGAGATAGGACAGAATGTGTGTGTAGGGAGAGAGAGAGAGAGAGAAATTTTAACCCTTCTTATAACAAACAGAAATACAAACTAGCCTGTATTGGCCTGATAGTAACTGACCTGCTTTTCGTTTTGTATGTGAATCAAGGAATCAGAGAGTAGGCAGATTTCTCTGCCTCTTTTCCAGAGATGAAATCTATAATCTTTCGCATAGTCTAAGACTACTTATCCTTTTCTTCTAGAACTGCTGTTGTACAGAAGCAACACCAAACGTAGCCATAAGATGAGCAGTGTGCTGTAACAAGGAGTCGGTGCACTGTGTCTGTTCTCTTGTCCCCATTCCTCCATTCCTTTCTAGAATTGTTTTGTTTTATTAATGAAAGCACTAGGATAGGAGAGGAAAAAAAGAACTGGGACTTTATATTTTTGCATTTCAACATTCCTCTACCCCATTCCCCACACCCAATACCATCAGATAAAAATAACCATTTCTCCATGAGAACCAAACCAAAGGAAGATGATATAACAGTGGAAGTGGTGTGGTCCATGGACTGATTCAGAATAAAATCTTTTTTCTTAATTATGGACATGTATGCCAAGTAATGACATGGGAAAAAACTACAGGTTTTATGGTTTTGAAAGATGACAGGATTATAAAAAGCAGTTAAGAATTGTAAATTGAGTATGTGGTCAGGCCGGTTGCCCTACTAATGAAAGTGGACCAGAAATTCAGGGTCTTTATTGTAGATAGTTTTCTTTTTTCTTTTTTTTTTTTTTTTCCCAGTGGCTGGCTGTGAAGGGGATCCAAACCCTTGACCTTGGTGTTCTTAGCACCACGCTAATACAGTACAATAAAATAAAATAACTGAAGAATTAAAACTTTTTATTTTTTTTGCAACTGGTTGGTAGGAGAATTAAAACTCTTAAGTGGAGAGAGAGACGTTAGCAGTTCAACTTGGGGGAGGAAACCTGGCTGCTTTTGTATAAGAAAATACCTGGCTTTGGGGCCGGCCCGGTGGCGCACTGACTGGATGGTGCGCCGCTTGGGAAGCATGGCGGCGCTCCCGCCCGAGGGTTTGGATCCCACATACAGACCGGTTCCCGCTCACTGGCTGAGCGAGGCGCGGGAGCAGCACCGAGGGTTGCAATCCCGTTGCCGGTCCCCGGTCCGGTACGGGGGCAACACTGAGGGTTGCGATCCGTTGCCGGACACGGAAAAAGACAAAAAAAAAAAAAGAAAATACCTGGCTTATTATGCATATATAATTCATAAGTAACTTCTTTACATAAATCATTTTGTCATGGTTCTGCTTTATAACTTAACTGTCACTTGGTCCGACAAACTATTTCTAGAAACACTGAATGGTTTATACATTTTTTATAATGTTTATGTCAAGCTCCACTTAAATATCTGGGTTTAATGTTTATAGAGAGTCTCATGGGAAATTCTCCCTTAATTTAATTCTTTCTCTTGGTTCCACCTTTATTTCAGCTTTCACCAACAATCACCAATGGTTTACACAGCATTGCAAGGAGCATCGAAACACGAAACTACTCAGAAGGATTGGCCATCCATACCCACATAGTTAGTACCAGCAACTTCAGTGAGACCTCTGCTTTCATGCCAGTTCTCAAAGTTGTTCTCACCCAGGCCAATAAGCTGGGGGTCTAAAAAGACAGCTTCACTCCCAGCCAATGTTGCCATTTTTCCAAAGAAACATGTTAAGAAAAAAGTATAAGACATGGACCAGTCTTCATTAGCATGTTTCCATAGCAGCCAGTCAAGAGCATTTATACTATTTCTGCAGATATACTCACCTTAGAATGGCTCAGAACCCTGGTTCTTTCTTTTGTTTTAATCTTTTGTTGCCCATGATGATTTTCCTATTCTGCAAATAGTGTATTTCCTGGATTACACAAGTATGGTTTCCTGAAGTATTCTTATAAAATTTGGTTTTTAAAATCTCACTATACTTTTTAGAAAAGGAGCATCTGGTTATGCATAAAGCAGAGCTAAAACTAAATTTCATGTCCTCCTACTTCCTCCATGTCAATCAGATTAAAATGTGTAATTCTATTTTATGTGTATGTAGTCTTTTTTTGAAAAACAGCTGCAAACAATTTAGTTGAATCCCTATTTTTGTGTCCTAGGCTTCACTTTGGTCCTGCACAAATAACTACATCCAGAAGCTGCTACGTAGGCTTAACAAATATTAATGAAAAATGGGATTCCTTGCTTTAAATATCTATAGGAAAAGACTGAGCATTTTCATTCTGTAGAAAACATTGAGCTTTTTTCTATTAAATGTTTTCAATATTCTGTTTGAGTTTTCAAATAGAATTGTCTCCATTTTATTGTTTGTTCACGGGTTTTTTAAAAAGTTACCCATAGATTTGAGGTGTAAGTTCAGAAAGAACACTAATTTCAGTCAGCCTCCTGAATCAAAACCAGATTTTTCTGTCAAATGATTTTATTTTAATCGGTCTTAAGAACAGTGTGGTAAACAAAAGAATCCCCATAGAATCTGGAGGAGAATTAAATACTAGTAATTATTATTGTTTGTGCAATATTACCTAAAAGCATTGGGAAACTAGAAAATAAACACTGTGACTACTATGGAGATAGGAGTATAAGAGTTTTCATCACGCTTTTCTGTAGCCAGAGTGAGAGTTTGCAAGAAACTCTCAATCCTCTTTGCTGAGATTCCCCAATCGACAAATACCAACCCCCCTTTAAAAAAATTAACCAACTCGCTCCCGCTGAGGGTTCGGATCCCACATACAGACCGGCCACTCACTGGCTGAGCGAGGTGCGGGAGCAACACCAAGGGTTACGATCCCGTAGCCGGTCCCGGTCTGGTACGGGTGCAACACTGAGGGTTGCGATCCGTTGCCGGTCAAGAAAAAAGACAAAAAGGGAAAAAAAAAAAAAATTAACCAACTCAATTTTATAGCTCAAAACAGTTTTGTAACTTTAAAAAAAAAAAAGGAGTACCTTGATAGCATATCCATATATTGGAATCTCAGGAATGGAGTGTCTAGATTTATAAACTGATATGTTGTCACCTTGCTTATCAGTCTCCTGTGAGTTTGGTAGTATGAGTCAGTTCCACTAGTCACTGAAGTGACAACTTGACTCTGGCCCTGATCCTGAACTGTAGTGTCAGCTCAAGACTGTCTAAACAGTGGGCTGGCTTCTAGTAATTTTTTTCATTCATGGCCATAATAGGATTTGTTTTATGGCTGCAGGTTTACCCTGATATGACAATGGCATAATCGACATTAATTTACAAAAAAACAAGTACCCAAAAGATGAGAAACAAGATTAAGTGGCAGTAGATGCCCTGGCCAATACCAGGGTTTTAGGAGTATGAGGGTAAAAAAACTATTTGCTACTGCCATCTGAGCAGCTATTATCTCTCCATTTTTAATAGAGTATTTGTTTTTTCTCACTGTGGAGCCATTTCTCAACATGGCTTATAACCTTGGAGAAGTTTCATGTAAGTGAATGGAGGTAAGAGAGCTGGTTGTTCATTTGAATAGTATGAGGGCAGGAGAAAGTTGGGAGCAACTGCCTTACACCTGACTGTTGAGAGTCCAGTGAGTCTATATAGTTTGGATTTGGAAAATTTCCATGTATCCCTGGCGAACAGGAAGATGTAGTGGGATCCGTGGCAAGCAGATGTACCCTGATTATCTAACAGCTGCCTGAAAGATAGAAGGGAAGGATGATGACTGGTTGTATCAGTCCCTTTATATTGTTTATAACAAAATACCTGGAACTAGGTGATTTATAAAGAAAATGAAATTTATTGCTCACAGTTGGACTGGGAAGTCCAAAGTCCAGGGAATACATCTAGTGAGAGCCTTGATGGTGGTGACAGTGATGCAGGGGTTTCACATGGCAAAATGGTGAAGCAAAGAGAGAGCTAACCTCATTCACTCTCTTTACCAGAACCACTCCCATTATTCCAAGAATGGATCAATCCATTTACTAGGGCATAGTCTCTTCAAGGCCCCACCTTTTAATTGCCATAGTAGTATTTCCCACCCTCGACTGTTACACTGGGGATTATGCTTCAGTGAGTTTGGGGGGGGTGGGGGGAGCATTCAGTCTACAGCACTGGTTAACATTTTTCTGACAACCATTTGTCTCCTGACAAGATTTGGGTTCACCTAAGAGTGACTATAGAGCCATTCGTCGATTCCTCTGCCATGGTGGAGAGTTCATTTGGAACCGGGATGAAGTTTCAGCCAAAATATATACCCACATTTATATGCCCATACACACGTGCCCCTCTCTTGTTTTGTCATTCCACTGCTGTGGTAGCAGCATCCCCAAATATGATCTCTGATTAATCTGAAGGTATCAGCATTTTCAAGTTATTCAGTAAATAAAGAGGGACTGTGAACAGTCTCAGCTATTCGATGTTATGGATAAATGCCCCAAATCTTCCAACAAATGTAGATTACAAAGGAAAAGCAATCAAATAAGCTTAATTTTTCCACTTTCTGTTGGTTTCATCTATATCTGTCACATCTGTTCTGCTCAGTGCTTTGGTAATCATGCCTGTTTATTAGGCTCATGTTGCATAATGTGTATGTATGCCTAATTGAGATCAAACTATGCCATGCTTTAATTTCCAACTGTTTGCCTTTGTTCCCACCAGGAGGTATGGGATATATAAGTTTTAGGATGGTTGAAGTGGATCTTGAGAAAGCTAATAAAATCAAACAAAAGGAAATAGATTTTAACTATGGTGCATGTTTTCTGCCATCTGGATTAATGTTTCCAGAGATCTGTAAAGCATTTATTTCGCAAACAACACTAATGTAGTTACATCTAAAACACCTAGAATGACTTTGCACAAACATCATTACTTGGTAATGTCTGGGATCTATTTTAATGGAGCGTCACTCCCTTTTGAATTTGAATTTGATACAAGGCTGACCTTCCATAGGCCTAGATGCCTACTGTAAGTCTGTCTCTCTTTTATTGCTGGTGCCCTATAATTTCCCAATTCTGTGACCAAAACCACCTTTCATGTATCAGTGGGCTTACACTGTACAAATTACCACTATACCACCAGCGCTGCCTTAACACTGTATAAATGGGAAGGAGTTGGCTTCAGAAATTTTGTGAAATAGAGGAAACCCTTCCATTTCAAAAAGATACAAGAACTTGTTGGACTTTTAGTTCTTATAAGCAAAGTTAAACCTAATGAAACGTGGTGTCTCAAACACATTTCTTCCAGTATTTCCTTTATACCTTTAAAGGCTATTACATTTCCTGGCTCTGGAGAGTGGTGTCCTAGTATTGTTGTTAACTTGGTTTCTTTACTTCAGTAAATATTTATAGAGTGTTTTATGCAGTTTAGTAGACTTCATGTTCAAATAGTTGTGTTTCCAGGTAGGCAATAAAAATCAGTAAGGAGCCTATCATAGAATGAGTTCAATTATTTTTTTTTTCCTTTTTGTCTTTTTTACTGACCGGTAACGGGATCGCAACCCTCGGTGTCGCGCCCGTACCGGGGACCTGCAACGGGATCGCAACCCTCGGTGTCGCGCCCGTACCGGGGACCTGCAACGGGATCGCAACCCTCGGTGTCGCGCCCGTACCGGGGACCTGCAACGGGATCGCAACCCTCGGTGTCGCGCCCGTACCGGGGACCTGCAACGGGATCGCAACCCTCGGTGTCGCGCCCGTACCGGGGACCTGCAACGGGATCGCAACCCTCGGTGTCGCGCCCGTACCGGGGACCTGCAACGGGATCGCAACCCTCGGTGTCGCGCCCGTACCGGGGACCTGCAACGGGATCGCAACCCTCGGTGTTGCGCCTGCACCGCGCTCAACCAGTGAGCGGGAACCGGTCTCCACATGGGATCCGTACCCTCGGCAGGAGCGCTGCCGCGCTCCCCAAGCGGCGCACTCTCCAGTGCGCCACCGGGCCAGCCTGAATGAGTTCAATTTTGATTAGAAGAGGAAAGACCTTTTCTTCTGAACAGTAAGAGGTTACTGAGTATAATATATAATTTAAGAGAGCCATCTTAAGGATGACCAGTACGTATGATTTGGTTAAGAAGTTACTTCAACTTGTACTTTGTCCAATAGAGGAACTATCCACTCTAGCAAGACTGGAATGTGAAGTAGAATGAAATGTAAAAACAGATTTCAGTAATAAGGAAAGCAACCATTTGCTTAAAGTGACCTAAAAATAGCTTTCTTTTCCTCTGGATATATCTCCAAATAATAGATGACTACCTTTTTTCCTTAAGGATTTTTGGGAAAGAACAAATCAGATTTAATAGGCTAAGTCCACAAGTAAAGAGTCCTCTCCTGGTAGGTTCTGCTTGGACACACTGACTGAAAAGATCTAACGATTACTTAAGCTGGGCACTCAGATATTTAGACCTTTCTCACTCCTCACGTCAGCCCAGGGAGCTAGGTTATTAATTCCAGTTGCTGAGCACAGCTGGTAAGCAGTGAAATCTGAATTCAAACCCATGTCTCAGCCCAGTGGTCCCATCTTTTTTTCCCATATTTTCTCCCAACATAAAGATAACTGCTACTATAACAAAAACCTGAGTTTTGGTTTTTGATTTTTGTTCCCCACCCCCAACCCACCCTGTTAGCCTGCAGAGACCTGGCATTTTCTGCAAAAGAGGAATGTGGTCATTATAAGGGGTAACATTTATTGAACAGTGTGGGTTGGCTTCTTTTCATTACAGGTTATCTTTATATGGTGGGTAAGATAGCCCCTGGCAATCTAAAGCCTACGTCTCCACTAGTGATATACAAAGTGAAGAGAGACCTCTTACAATATCCATATACTGCTCACAAAGACAACTCTCATTGGCTTTGTTTGGGTCTCATGTCCACTACCTGATAAAGGTCTGTGCCCAGGGAGGTGGCATACCAGAATTGGCTGGCCCGGATACTGTGCCCACCCTAGTGTGATCACAGTGATTTTAACCATATGGAATGGTTCCCCAAAGGAAGGGGTGCATTTTAGAGAAGAAGAGGAGGAAAATAGTAGGCCAAAACACCCAGATACCTCCTGTAGATCACAACAGGGA